CCAAGTCCTTCTCTTCAGAGCTGATCTCAAGACTCATCACCCAGTCTGTATTTATGTTTGGGGTTGCCCCGACCCAGGTGCAGGAGCTTGCACTTGGCCTTGTTAAGCTCCATGAGGTTAGCACAGGCTCAACTCTCAAGCCTGTCAAGGTCCCTCTGGATGTCATCCCGGCCCTCCAGCTTGTCAGCCACACCACTCAGCTTGGTGTCGTTGGCAAACTTGCTGAGGGTGCACTCAATCCCACTGTCAATGTCACTGACAAAGATGTTGAAGAGCACCAGTCCCAATACCGACCCTTGAGGGACACCACTCGTCACTGGTTTCCACCCGGACTTTGAGCTGTTGACCACAACTCTTTGAGTGCGGCCATCCAGCCAGTTCCTTATCCACCAAGTGGTCCATCCATCAAACCCACATTTTCCAATTTAGAGACAAGGATGTCATACGGGACGGTGTCAAATGCCTTGCACAAGTCCAGGTAGATGACATCAGCTGCTTTAGGCTTAACTTCAAAGATATTATTTTCTCAGAGCAGCCCACAGGCTGGCAACAGGTATGTTACTGTTTTCATTAGTGTCATGTAAGAATGGAGATAGTGTCAGGGGGAAGGTGTTTCAGAGGAAAAGCAGTGCCATACTTCTTGTTTCTGTGACAGAGCAACTAAGTTTGGGGAGTAAGCTTCTGGCTCACCACGTGCAATAGTACACCCCGCACAGAGCTGTGGGCAGGTTTTGGGGCCTGATTGTGCAAGACAGCACAATGCCAAATTCCATGCTGTGGATGGAATTTCCATCCAAAATTCCACGCACTGCCAAATTCCAGCTGTAAAGTCTAGACCTAACTGTGGCTTTCTGCCTTGGTAAATGCTATTAAAATATAGGAGATTAAGACAGACCCCTTGAAATAAATAAATAAATAAAAAAGTAAATAAACTTAGTTAACTACTTGTAAAGACTTGGGAACAGAAGTGCTTTTGGCTCCATCTTCATATTACCAACCAAATAAACATGTCTGTCAAAACCCCTGCAGCTAAAGAATAAATGTCAGGAGTGGTCCCAGGGGTGATTTTTAGCACTTTGACACAGGCTATGAACCATACTACATGTCTTCTTTAGGGCTGGGTCCCCAGCAGGATTTATTTCTGCGTCAAGGAAGATTACAGCTAATAGGATTTGCTTCTTGGAGGCTGTTGGCATGTTTGGTGCAAACCCTGCACAGTGCTTTCTTAAAGGACAATATGGACCCCATTTGTCATATTTTTCTTCTTCTTCTGTCCTTCCACAAGATAAACCCATCTGTTTCATCTTGTATCACAGGATGCTCTTGTTCTCAAGAGAGCTTTGGAAGGTAAGAAACGCTAGTTACCTTAGTTGTAGCACCAGTGAAGTAGTTTGGAGAGTCCCAATATATATTTGCCGATGATGTGAGCACCAAAACGAAACAGATGGCCACACAGTATGCCTCCTCTAATGCTTGAATAGTGCTAGCTTGAGCAAAGAATGGGATTTCTCTTAATTTCCCTGAGATACGTAGTTTCATACGTAGCAATGTCTATGACTTAATTGTATTCTTTGTGGGAAGATGGGTGTGAAACCCAGGGAAGGATGGGTGTATGGCTTATGCATGCCCTGTATACAATAGCTTATAATTTTTCAAGTGCTTGTAGACTTGCATAGGGAACCGGTTTGTTTGTGATGAATGTAGTGTGCAACCTGGAGAATTTTCTGGCTTCATCCTTAGGAGTTTGCTCTGCATGTCTGTGCTGCTGAGGCGGATCCCTGCAAACATCCCTCAGGACACCCGGAAAATTAGAATAGAAAATTCTCACCTAACGGAATTGCCTCGTGGGTCTTTTGAGAACGTTAGTGCCTTGGAGTATGTCTGGCTCAATTTTAACAACATCACGGTGATGCACATCAAGAGCCTAGAATATCTGCCGGCTCTGAAGGAGCTGCGCTTGCAAGGGAACAAATTAAGTTCAGTGCCATGGACAGCATTTCAAGACACCCCGGCTCTGAAAATCCTGGACCTGAAGCACAACCGGCTGGATGTCCTTCCAGAACATGCGCTTCGCTATCTGCCCAACCTGACCTATTTAGATCTATCCTCAAATCAGCTTACTGTCATATCCAGGGATGTCTTCTACAGCTGGCCTGTCTACCAGAGAAGCCAGATGGTGGAGGGGCAGACAGAAGCTATTCCCAATGCCGTCCTGGCCCTTCACGACAACCCCTGGATTTGCGACTGTCGCCTGCGGGGATTTGTCCAGTTTATCAAGTCGGTTGGCCCACCTATTATTCTGATGAATTCCTATTTAACTTGCTCAAGCCCAAAATTCAGGGCAGGGAAGTTTTTTCATGAAGTGGAGCTCAAGAGCTGCATGAAGCCCCTGACCTCAGCCCTTGACACCAACCTGACAGTCCCTGTGGGGCTGAATGTCACCCTGACCTGCTTTGTGCAAGCCAGCCCTTCCCCAGCTGTCTCGTGGACCTATGCACTCAAAATGTTAAGGGCATTTAATGGTAAGCAAAGCTTTTTCTTCTTATCTTCCCCCCCACACCAAAAAATTTACACTCTGCCCTTCTACTTATGTAGGTTTTCAGGCCATTACAGTCACCACACCCCTTTACAGCATCACAGTTATTGTGGTGGCAATAATGAAAATAATCTTAATCATCCTATGTATCTAAGCACGTCTGACTGGCATGCGAAGAGCTGCTTCATGCAGGATAGCAGTCAAAGATGAACGGAGCAAGGCCTCATTTTTACACAATTATTTTATGTGTCGATTTTTTATGTGTGGATTTTTCGTAGCTCTTTCATCATGACACACGATATAAGAACTATTAATAATACATCAGTCATACATATATGTATGTAATAAATATGCAGTTCTCCAGACATGCATATATATTTACACTATGTATTATATACTACCTATATATATGCACACACTCTACAAAATTATATTTGTGTATATGTGTGTGTTTGTAGGAGTGTGTACACACACACACATACACACTTGTATGTTTCTGTACTATTCCCATATGTTTTCTCAGGAAACACCCACATAAAACACAAACCCCTGCAGCCCTGTTGCCTGTCTGTCCATTCATGGTCTACAACCAAACCAGAAGTAATTGTTCCCCATAAACCTTGCTTATTTATATTCTTTATTGAGGGCCTCTTAATATGAGGCCTTTACCTCTGCCTCCTGATCCAGCTCAGCTCTTACATGCCCTCCTTCACATTTATTTTGACTAAAAGACCCTTCAACAGGACGAGTTGCTATTTTCACCAAGTAAGCTAATAACACATACAGGCACCACATGGGTTATGTGTTTTCCTAATAAACCAGCTAGCTAAATAAGATAGAATTAGCCCTTGATCCTGGACTGATATTTGCTTTAATTGCAGTGTTGTATTAGTGCTTGTCCATCTTTCCACAAGCACATGCTGAATTAATCACATACAGGCTTTTCCCAACCACAGCTGTGTGCCCTGTTTGGGTACATGACAGGGTGTTTCACACTGTTCTTAAAGCTGCATCTCAGTTTCAACCCAACACTTCCTGGCTCCATAAGCCTCTTTTTTTTGGGCCAAGCCTCTTGAGACTGACCTTTTTCAGCACTTAATCCTAACGGAGAATGGAGCCTGTGTCCAAAATGCAGCTGTGCCTCCTGCACCTCAGTGGCTCTCCATGGCTTGCCCTGACCTGAGTATGCTGATGGCAGGCAGCACGTGGGTGGCTTGGTCTCTGCCCACAGCAGCATCCCCAGCCACTCCTGCTGGGACAGGGTTGGACGCACTCCCTGTCTCCTGTGTCCTGGTGTATTTACTGCCTTTTGCCCTGGATAACACTTCACTGACGAGCTCTGTGCGGT